TATTAATATTTTCTTTCGTCATCTGACTACGGTCCTGTTAAACTTCGCGCGACACTAAGCGTGGTGATGACCATTTCAAGTATACAGGGTATTAAATGAAGGACACAAATACAATTAGAAAATACTAAGGTCAAAATATGATCATTGAGCCAAATACGAGGTGTTTTCAGAAAACAATTGTGCAAATTCATTTTTGTTTTTGTTTGAGGAAAAAATTGACATTTTTGACATATTTTTTTACACCAGTACTGCCACAGTCAGAAAAATGTATAATAACCTGGTTACTTCTCTTTACATGTAACGGCATGAGGAAAATATGTGATATTGTTTGAAATATTTCTCTAAAAAAAAATTAAAATTTTCAACAGACAAATTATCGCCGAAAATGATAATTTTGAAACAGTTTGTATTGTGTATATATTAGGGTGGCCCAAAAAAAAACGAATATTTTTTTTCGTGTCTTGTGAAAATATATTAGTTTATCATGTTTTAAGAGCCCACTCAAAAAATCAGCTCAAAAAAATTATTTTAGAGGTCGCTCAAAATTTTTGAAAATTTCCAAAATCGTCAAAAATTGAATATTTTTTCTCGTTATTTTATCATATTCTAGGTTCAAAAAAATATCGATTCTGAAAATTTCAAATCGATATTTTAATTTCTAAAGGTCGCTCAAAATTATTTTAACTTTCAAAGAAGTGTACCTGTTTTCGAGCGACTTCTAAAAAATAAATATCAACGAACTAATATATTTTTTTTATTGAATTTGATGAAAAAAGAATAGAAATAAATCACGAGACACTTAAATTTTAAAAAATTAAAAAATTATAAATATATTGATACTCATGATGCGGTAGTAAATTTTGCCTCGAGAAATTTATTTCTATTCTTTTGTTCATCCAATTCAATAAAAAAATTATTAGTTCGTTGATATTTATTTTTAGAGGTCGCTCGAAAACTTTTTAGGAACACTACTTTTAAAGTAAAAAATAATTATGAGCGATCTTTTCAAATTAAAATATCGATTTGAAATTTTCAGATTCGAGATTTTTTTCATCCTAGAAAATGATAAAATAACGAGAACAAAATTAAAAAAAAAATCAATTTTTTGACGATTTTGGGTATTTTTAAAAATCTTGAACCTCTAAAATATTTTTTTTGAGCTGATTTTTTGAGGGGGCTCTTTAAACATGATAAACTAACATATTTTCACAAGAGACATGAAAAAAAAAAATCGTTTTTTTTGGGCCATCCTAATACGTATGCGCTGAAGGAGTAAGCAAAATTTCACATTTTTCACTGATTGATATTGTAATGCTTTGGACCTATCTTTGCAACCTGGACCTCTCAAGAGGGCTTCAAGGGTCCTCTAGTAAGACACCATCCTCCCACATAAACAAAGCGATTTTTACTGACCACGATCCGATACGATCTGCTTTGCCACTGCGCCTCTTGTAGACTTTTTCCTCGACACCTCGCGATCCCCTATCACTCGTTAGCAGGCAACTGAAAATTTCAATTCTATCATTATCTCGTGATCTTTAAACGGTCTTTCGAATTTTATTGCGGGAAAAAATCGCCGCTACACCACTCTGATGAAGCCGCAAAAGGCCGGTGATAATCTGTGGAGGGCTTAAATAATGGGAAGATAAGGAATTTTTTCATTAAGATAGGAACAATTTTATTACAACGGTGGAGTTACATCGTTTGTAAAAACTATACTGGTAGAGTACTAGTATTTATAAAATTATGGACGCATTTACTGAAATGTTAGAAAAAAAACAAGGCCAGTTACTGCGAGAGCAAGATATCTAGATGTTCAATTTTAATAGTGAGAAAAAAAAACAAACATGGTGATAATATACAGGGTGATCCTAAATTGTCTCCGGATATTTTCAAGGCATATAGTGCAGTAGACACTAGCGGCCCTTTTTTATATAAATTTTTTCCTAAAAATCGATAATGATGGAGACATTAGATGGAGTCTATGCAGCTCTGGGATATCCTCAGGAGTTGTTATTGGATAGGTCTGAAATGCATGGTTTAATTAGGAGGAGGGTTATGTACTCGATAATGTTCTTGTACAAAATTATCAACCACGATATTGATTGCATTGAGCTTACAACACAAATGAATTACCGTGTTCTTCGAATAAATGCCCGATCAAATAGTTTGTTCAGTCTTCCTTCTTCGCGCACAAACATGTTGCGGTGGTCTCCCTTTACATCAAATGCTTTTTAAATATCATAATATAGAGAATAGCCTAGACATTTTCAATACTTCTCTAGCACATATTAAAAGAATTTTCTATTCTGACAATTGAGTTATCGGTTTTTAATTTCCTTTTTGTTTTTGTATTACTTATGTTGTTGTTTCTGTTGTTGTTATTTTGATTTTTTAGATATATTAATTCTTATGTAACTTTACCTTTCTGCTATTTTTTTATTGACTGACTGACATTGTTTCTGATTAACGTTTGTACTTTTTGGTAATTTGTATTTTTATTTTTACTTATTTGAAATGTTTATGCTTCTTGTGTTAATGTGTATTTATTGTAGCTGTAATATTCATCCTGTGATTGTGTTTCTCCTGTTGGGTGTAATAAATAAAATAAAGAGGAATGGTAGATATCAACATTTTTTGTAATATATTAAACGTTTTTCGAGATATCTTATTCATATTTTAAACTTGAATTAATGCATCTGGGCACTAACTTATGCAGTACTATTCAACTGCCACATCATGCATTATAGGGTAGGCAGGTAGTTCCAAAGGGTGACTGTCACTATTTCATTCCCATCTTTTTTAGTTTCGGTCTGTACGTCAAGCATCTTTCGAGATCTTTGCGTATGGGATGTTTTCAGAAAGTTAAAAACAATGTAAGTTACAGATGAAGTAACTCTGGACTAAGGCAAATTTGGCGTAATTGTCATATTTTGTCCTATAGATTATCTAATAACACCCGTGTTTCTTCAATTTTCGAAAAAATTTTACTCATCTATAAATTTTTAATGCACTTTTCAAGGTATTACAACAGGAAACTTTTAAACCAATTTTAATTGAAGTACATCATTTTTGACATAACGTTTTTGATACTCTCGAACAAAGACACTTGATTAAAATTAAAATTACACAGGCTAACATGGCATGACTGATCTTCTAAACCAGAAACTTGACAATAAATTCTGAAGAGTTTCGACGTCCTCCAGCGCATCGGAAAAGTGTAATCTAGTTTCTGGTTCAAAGTTTTGTTTACAATTTTTGTCAAATTTGCATTAATTTTCCGAAAATTAACAACTGCGTGCACAGAATACCATAAAATACAATGTTTATCACTTTTTTGAACTTCTTTATGCTTAATTCTAAAAAATAATTAGCGTTGTAATAAATTTAATATTCGATAAAATTCATATCGAGCAATGTGACAATAGAATAGACCGTGTCGGAGTGTTTTTTGCGTACCACCATTTCCTTTTCTTGAGATGTTTTCCAGCGTGTGCGCGAATATTGGATTCGAATGTGTCGTGCGTGCATCTAAAATGGTGGTGGACATTTTGAGCATATGTTGTAGTTTGTTATGTACTTGCGCGTTTAAAAATTACTGAATTTTACTTTTTTGGGTACTTTAATTACATATTTTTCAAATACGTAATTTGATTAAAAGTAAAGTTCCTGTTTTAAGAGAGTCATAATTACTAAAATTCGAACTAAAATTTAAGCACAACACTATTCTCGTATTACAAAATCGATACATTTTCTTTTATTTATTTAAAAACTGGAAAATAATTGTTTTGAAAGTTACTAAATGTTTCACAATAATAGTTGTTTACATTTTTTCCATAGGACAAGTCTGCGGCGTGTACACGTGGTGTACTTCAGCAGGTTAAGCATTATTTCAATTGTCACGAAACTCGCCAATATTAATTAATACTCGCTGTATTTTGAAAACTATTAATCTTACACCCCTGCAATATACAAGTTTCTTGTTCATTTATGATTACTATGTCTTATGCTGAAGTAATTGCAGTCAAACTTCTTACACCCTGTTTATGTATTATTTTCAATTCATTTCTTCAATGTTTCGAAAACTATAATACCTTTTAACGTATCAGGTAAGCGTATTTATCTGCATTTATCTTTTGACACTTTTGAATAAAGTAATCGGTTCAAAAAAGTTTACAAAAATCTGAGAAAAAGGGTGAATGTAGAACTGAGAAATTGAAACAGAGCGGATGATGCTGACAAGTTTTTAATATTTTTTAAATTCTTTTAAGTCAAATTAATGAAACTAAATTGTAATACTTTCAAGAACAGTCGTGGACAAAAAAAGTGTTCAACATAAAGCATTTTAATATATTTAATAATAATAGTTTAAAAAAAAACAAAGCGACAAAACCTCGCGTTATACAGAGACGTACGCAATTTAAGCCGGAAACGTTTTATTGTCCACAGCTGTATTCATTCCACCAATCATTAAAATAAATGCCATATAAATTATCACATTTCCAGACCAACCTGTCATAGGTAACGCGACGTGAGCCTAGTTTTGTCTTTAATTGCTTATTTCTCTTTAGTCACCCAACGATTTTATGACCTTTTAGTTGCCGGGAACTGTGGGACGTTATTTATGGGCGTTGGAAGTTGCGCGAGCGCCCTTTTTTCTACCGCAGTAGCCGTTAATTGGTATTTGATCGAGCTGCCACCCACAATTCAGTGCCTCCTTCACGAAAAGGACGTTTATCTCCGACGAAGAGATGCCTGTGGTGAGGCTTGGTGCAGGAAAAACCAATGATATTTTTTGTAGTTAAGATCACTATATTTTCGATAAAAAAAACTGCAAAATTACTTTTTACCAAATGATGGTATTAACCCATCAAGCTTCAGATTATAATACTGTTTTATTGAACATTTTTGGATTGTATTCCCTCAGAAGAGTCAAAACTACAAATTCAAATTATATATCAGAAATTGTGAAATAACAGAACTGATTGCATGAGACTTACATGTGGTCTCATCCATACTATGGGCTGTAGAGGGGGTTTCTTGTGACAATACAGTGCCTTAGGGCCAGCAGGAAAATCTGGATCCTCGAAAAGGCTTCCTCTCTCCCTACAAGACCTTTTGATTGCTTGGTAGTTGGACGAACTTTTCCTGCGCTCTGTCGTACAGTATCTGAAACAAAAATGTACTTATTTTTAACAATTTTCTTTTCATTTCAATTCAATGTCACAAACATATTTTCAATTTCATTTAATGCCAACAGGTTTTCACTCAATTACAAGAAATGTTAGAAGATGTAATATACGAATTAAATACATATTTAAATTTCAGTTACAATGTAAGAATACGAAGATACTTTCATATCATAGTAGTACCTGTATACACATTTTGAAAAAACTTTACTTAAAGTACTACAGTTAATGTCAGAAGTCAAATACTTTCAACAAATTGTAAAATAAAATGCCACACATTATTAAAAGTTGATTTCATCATAACATTTGCTCTATTAGTCTTCAAACTACTAAAATTAGTAAAACAATTAAAAAAATACCTTTAGTTTATTAGTTGAAGATACCATTTCTAAATAACACAAAAGCCTTTGATCTCAGAACAATGTCTGTGTATGTCATTGTTAATATTGAAATGAAAATGTATTGGATTAAAAGCAAAAATTGTTAGGAATATTCATAATTTTAAAATTAGATACATTTAAATTTAAATCAATGTAGATATTTTTATTTATTTTGTAAAAATATTTTTAAATAGCCCGCAAACAGCAATATGTGTTTTAAAGCACAAATACATATAATCGTTAATGAAAATCAAGAATAAAAGTGGGCTAACATTTGAACCCTGTGGGACAACAAAGATGGAAATTATTTGATGTATACCTGCCACAATTGCTGTTTTTTCTTAAGTTAATTAAGTTTTAATGTTTTCCCATGTAGGAAAATACCCAGTTAGAGAAAAAGGTTTGACAAAGGTTTGTCGCCTAATCTCATGTTAAATGTTCTAAAGCATAAGCATAATTTATATGATTTTATTTCTTTTCTAATAAGATTATTAGTACGTTGAAGATTAACATTAAGTCTTCGTTTTTTAAACATTCTCAAGAAATTATTTTTGCCTTTAATTCTGTTGATAATGTATTTGCTAAACTATACTGGATATTTATTAGTTCTACTTTGCTTTGAGCAGGACATATTGTCAACAAGAGTGTGCAAACTTGGTCAACATCATTAATCAAAGTTAATATAAGTATACCAATCTATATCACCAAAACTTTTACAATTTTGATAAAATTGTCTTTAAAAAAATGTATCTATGGTACAACATTGGAAGTGAAATTTATTTGTTTGTTCAAATTCATGAGCTAAGTTCATTTTCAGCCTAGGATGACGATGATCAATTGGCATAAATATATATGCGACAATTGATACAAACAAATAACTAATCGGGTAAACAATTATTAATGTTTCCAATATTATTGAATTGCAACTATCACATTAGCTCAAAAAATCATTAAGGCTTTGTAAGAGGTTAGTAATTTTATTTTTGTCACAACGCTCAGTATATTAAAGTTTTCCATAATTAACAAATAATCAACATCACATTAATTGTTCTATTAATAATTAAAAAAAAACGTTATAGTCATCCTTCACTGTCGAATTTAATGGGATATACACGACCGTTATCTTACTGGAAAAGTTGAGATGTTGGGAAAGATTATAATTGTTATTGTTAACCCTCAAAGGTCACACTTGGGGTGGGCCACCTTAAAGGTAACACTAGTGCGAATTGGGATTTTGCCAACTTTGCACCTTTGTCTTCTTTATTTGTTAACGAACCATAACGTATGTATATCAAAACCGGGGTAAAATTTTTCGATTAAAAAAACCTAAACCTAACCTAAAACCTAAAAAAATATAGTACCTATTAAAATTGGTCTTAGTCTCGAGAATGTGTGAGTCAAATAAGCCTTTTTGTCTCCCATTTCCTTGGGTTTAACCAATAGTATTAACATTATTTAGGATGCTTCGTTTTTGAGATATAGGGTGATTTTTTTAGAAAAAAAACGATGTTGATGAAAACAATAGAAATATTTAAGTACCTAACATCTAATGTGACTATGTCGTAATCCGACAACGTAACGATCCTTGCAATACTCCTACAGTCCGGAGGCGCCCATTTTAAACAAAATATTTTTTAAATAATTTCATTTTTGATTCACTTTTCACTTTGTCTAGGTATAATATTAATTGGTATTTTTTTGGTTGTTTCAATTTACAAACAAACTTTCATGTATTGTTTGCTATCTTATTTTATTTAAAAGTATACAGAATACAAGTAAATGAAGTGACTACAAACCGCCTGAAAAAATTTAGGAGTATTGCAAAGGTCGTTACGTTGTCGCATTACGACATAGTCACATTAGATGTTAGGTACTTCAATATTTCTATTTTTTCACCATTTTTTATTCTAAAGAAACACCCTATATCTCAAAAACGAAGCATCTCCTGAATAATTATAATACTATTGGTTAAACCCAGGGGAAGGGGAGACAAAAAGGCTTATTTGACTCACACATACTCGAGACTAAGACCAATTTTAAAGGTACAATATTTTTTAGGTTTTATGAGGAACGTCTTCCTAAAGTTTATCGACAGAATCCAGAAGCACCCTTCCAAAAAATCAATTTTGCCATTAAACTATGAGTTAGGAAAAAAGTGAATGTACACCTTTCTACCTAAAAACAGCATCATTTTTTATTTTCAGTAGGGCCGTATTAATTTTTTTTTATAATTTAATGAGTCTGAGTCCCCATAGCTACGCCACTGGTTGCTTGCGGGACTTCTACTTCTATGGAAAAATGGCATCTTATAAGAAGATGTGTCATGCCAAATTTGGCTTAAATAGCCTTCTTCATTTAGAAGTTATTTAAAAAATTCGAATTTTTAAAAAAATCTTTAACGCCCTATATTTCGAAAATGAAGCGTCTGGAAAAAATTTATACTTGATTATTTTCTTATTTTCTTTATGAGGAATATCTCCTTAAAGTTTGTCGACTTAATCCTGAAACACCCTGTATAAATCACTTTTACACACTCTAAAGTCACACTAGTGCGAATTCGCACCGATCGGACCTTTCAGACTCTCTAGTTTGGCGGATAATAACAGACTGTCACCAGCTGTGGTACGGCTCTACTGTTTGGGCTATAGAAAGAATTATTGTGATGGGGAGAACCCTCAGCTGCTGCTACCTGAGAACGGCCAGCTATTAAAAAAAGGTGGTGCGAATTCGCACTAGTGTGACCTTTGAGGGTTAATTGGCGAATAAAACACCACCCTTCGCAATCCATATTGCCGATCTTTCCCACATAGTAAACTTTTCTTTAAAATGTTACCGTAATACACATTTCCGTTTCAGTTTCAACAATTCGGACAGAATACTATTCCCTTGACTGTGTTATTAATTTGAAGTGAACCACACACTGTATATTTGTAATGTAAACAGGCATCTTCATCTCAGTTAGGGAGCTACATCTAAGAAAATAACAACGGAACACCTAGTGGTCTATTCATAAATCGAGCAAACTCCTTTATCTCCACACGACTATTGAGATATCCATATACACCGCTGCGCTACATATCATCTATCACCGAGGTATAGTTAAACAAAATGGCTACACATGTAGATATTCTCATATTACCAACCGACTCTTTGTTAAGTATGGCAATCGAAAAATTGGCGTAGGAGTAAATGCGAGGAGTACCACAGTCCATAAATCATAAGAGTAGTGAGTTCCACACCATTTAATCCACGTGAACGAAGCCCGATCTAACAATATTTAAATTCGCAGTCGATAAATCATGTAAAAGCCGGGTATAATGATAATTATTATGATTTCTGCTCGCAACTTTTCAGGGCGAATGGTCTTTCGCGCTACATTCATCAACACATTCAACGATAGTTAATCTTACAATGCGCTGGTCTGTTTCTGTTTCCAATAGCTTCATCTGGAAGATTAGAGAGAAAATCAGAAATCACTTAACGTAAACACGACCGTTTCAGTAGTCCCACTGTAAACTTCGTCAAGACGTAAGCAAGTTCGTCGAACTAAGGAATCGTGACGAAAAAAAAATATATTAAAAATATACCTAATTACAATTTTGCTAAAACTATAGATTACGTTTGAAAATTTCTATATTTTGTGGGTTTGCTATCCCATTACCGTTGAATATTTGTGAAATACTTTTCTAAATGTTTACAAATTTTCTAGAAATTGCCTTAAGATACTGAAAAAATATTTATAACAAATTATAACACATATAAATGTTTACGTTAATCAATATTGCAAAATAAATTCACATAACCCATTGTCCAGCGTAGCCATTTTAAATTAGTGCTATAAATTATGAAAATTGAAACTGGAAAACACCTTAAATGTTAATAATTATGTAAATTCTCTAAAGATGGGAAAACAAATTAACAAGAAAAAATTATTACATATAACACTATGCTGTCGAAAATTTTGCAAGTAAAACCGGTGTGAAGTTATCAAATACCCTTCAAATTTGTTTGTTGAAAATAATTTGATGACACCAAAATGAACTATTATGCCATCAAATTATTTTGGTCACATTAGTATAAGTACTAAATAAAAATTATTCTAAGAAGCCTAGGAATAATAATAATGTTTTCTATCCATTTATCATTTAATTTAGAGAAACCGAGAACTATTACTTTAAATAGTTTGATTAGTTTGACGACTCGTCGTAACGTCAAAATGACATGTCACAATTTCAAACAAATATGACGAAAATTTGATTGTATTGGGTCTAACTGGTATTTGGCATATTTTTCAAAATATGTAAATACATGTAGAAAAAGATTTGAAGGTTATTTCGAATGAGGTTACCAGCATACCAGATATGCCATTCCTTCTTCATTTATTGACTGCATCAGAAAAGTTGACTCATACGTAACTCAAACGAACGAATACAACTTTCAAGATGCTAGATTTAGTGTAAAATATACCATGTTGGCAACACTGGACAGAACTGAGGCTAACTGATCTAATAAATGATTAAAAGCCAAAGGTATAAAAGAGAACTTTTACCCTTGGATACTAAGATATCTCAATATTTTTTTATTTGTACGGAGAATTTAA